AGAGCACGCGTGTGTACATAGTGAGGGCCATGTCTATATACACAGAACTTCATTGAACATGTCCTGAGGTAGACAGTCACCAATCCTTGGACAAAGGCTGTCCCCTTTTTCTCAATGCAACGTTGGTCGCCCAAGACTGTGACGTGTGAAACACGGACCAAGCCGATCCGCGATTTCCTTGTCGGATCTGACAGATTTCCTGCCATGTAGTGTTCACCCCCACGCCGCGGTTTGGATGGAGTTGGGACTGATGATCTCAGGAGGTGGTCCGGCCCAGGCGAGCTTGACGAATCCGCAACTCATGGCATCGGGCTAGGATGGAAGGAATGCCACACCCGCCGAGGAAAGGGAAAGTCTGAGAAATTGTCCAGAGAAATCGTGGGTTGGTCATCATGTAAGGTGGTGAAAGCTTTCGTGGAATCTGTTCACAGTCTCAGGTCGGTCAAGGCTGACGAAAGCCGTCCGAATCCGCACGATGGTCCGGAAGTTCCGTTCCGAATCCGCAATCCGCATCGACGTGGGAGCATGTGCCTGCCTCAAACATGCACAAGCCGGAAGAGCATCCGGAGCGGCTCCAGTAGTGAGGAAGGTACCTTTTTTTTCGGCATTTGAGGTAACAAAATCCGGGTGGAGGTGTGACATGAGAAAAGAATCTATGAACATTCACAATGAGGAAATGCTGCTATGACAACTTGCTCTTGGTTCCATCACATATTGGCACGGGTCACGTGTTTTTTGTTTGACTTGCTGTCAAGTCAAACATCCAGAGGAGGTGAAGTTGAAGTCAAACATCCGGCCGGATGGGATAGGTAAAAACATTTAAACAAACATGTCTATAAACACCCAGGAAGAGACTGAAGACACAGTCTCCCTGTTTTTGGGAACTCGAACGTTTCGAACTCCTCCGCCGAACTCGAACGTGACAGGCCTGGCACCGAGAGCCCCAGGATGGCCAGCGAGAGGCGGACGGGAACGCGAGTGGGACGCGAGTGGCGCGCCTCCGGCGCCACATGGAAACAGGAGTGAAAGACTTCGCCCCAAGCATCCGATTGGACCTTGGTCGGACCTTTTTTGCAGGTGTTTCGTGGAAATGGAGTTTGGGAACAGGGGGGCGAAATGGATTTTCACAGATGCATGCAGGGCCGAAGACATATTCCTTTTCCAGTGAGTGCTGGGAGGGGCCCAAGGGGTTTGATATTCCACGGTTGGAACACACTAAAATGACATGGTTCGACACACCCGCGAGGCGTTTCTACAAGTGGGACGTCGTCCGGATCTGAGTTTGTTCAACTTGAAAAAGAAAGCAGCTGGATGGTGTGATAGGACCTTCTGCCTTTGTTAAGCTACTCGCAGCGAGCTTGGGAAAAGGACATGAAATTATGCATACCATATATTTAGGCGCAGTGATTTCAGCACAAACCTGAGTCAGCGGGTGTGCATGTTTGGTCAAACTGGGGGTTCTTCCTCACAGACCGTCATGCACCACATCATGTGGTCACCACATGTGTTTTCCTTTGGAAGTTGCTTTCTTTTTTGACACCTGGGAGCTTTCTGCCACGCGTGCCTTCTCGGGCTGAAACTGCGCCGCCGTGTTTCACGCCCGAGGTCAACGCAGATGTGGTGCTGGGCTTGGTCCCATGGGCGCCGCAGAACGTCACCCGAACTGCAGAACGTCGTGGCGTTCGTGGCGTGTGGGGTGGCGCTTTTCTGGGTGACAAAGGAACTGGGAAAGGTCCAGTGGACTCGATTGATGATAGATATATGCACTCGAAAAGCCCTACTCAAAAATTTTAGATAAACGTAAACTTTTAGGGTTGGAGATGAGTTTTAAGTCTTCGTTTAGAAGCGGGCCCCCAGCAGACTATGGTGATACAGCAAGGCAGCGCTAGATTGGCGCTAGGTTGGCGCTAGGTTTCTTCATAACAGGATAAGCAAAGAAGAAACAAGCAGAGAGCAGGAAAAATAATAAGCAACACAAGAAAAAGGAAAAACAAAGAATAGTAATAAGAATAAGAATAAGTATTAAAAAAAGTATATAATAAGAAGAATAATGCACAACAAGAAGAAGACAAGCAAGCAGGAAAACTAAGAACCTGACAGGATGAAGAAATCGACGGATATTTTTCCGCTAGGCTGACGCTAGATGCGCGCTAGCACCGCGCTAGACGACGGTCCATTTCTTGACCATCTGCCCATCCAACACCTGAATGTTTTGAGTCAGCTCTTACGTCCTTCCGAGAATTGGAAGACATCTATATTATAGATATGATATGTCCCCAAACCATATAATATAGGCGCCCAGGCCGGGCTCCTGGCCCACGTCACGTCCGAAGCTAGCGACAGACCCACCCCAAGCACCTGATCAGGAAGTAGCTTGAACCCATCTGGTCGTTTTCCAGATCTTGTACTGCCTGCTGTGTCGGACAGGAGGATCCAACAAAATAGACTATAGAATGAAGGTAAGTTCCTAGTTCCTGGCAACTTCGATAACATAGACCATTAGTTGTTTGCCCTGTTTGGGTCTTCGCTATTCATCGAAACCGGCGGCTTTATTTCTTTGGGAGTCCCTCAAGAAGTCTTCAGCCCCTCAACTCTGAGACTGGCTTAACCTACCGAAACCCTCCATGCAGTCAAGCATGACTCTCCCTGAACTCCCTTAAATTGTCAAACTGTCAAATGTGCGGAATATTGTCTCACAAAGACTGGCCGCTGCTTCTAGATTCTAGGTGATGGTGGACAACTTTTGCGCGGTGACAGAGATCCAGGAGGGTTGCTTTTTGTTCGCTGGGCCCGTGTCATGGTTGACATGCTGTGGAGCTAAATCTGTTGTGCAAAGTGCTTGAATGGATGACCATGAATCATGTGGGATCATGTGGGTTTTGTAAACATATATGACATATGTCAACAATCGTCAATTCCTCGTTTTGAAAAACGGACAACCACAACTGCTTGAGATGTAGAATCCTGACTTGCAGTCTTTGTACCTTCAGCGTGTGCAGCGTTTTCGGGGGAGGGATGGGAGGGGGGGTCGAATCACATCTAGTTACGATCCTCGGATCTTCTACGACGATCTAGGATCCTGGCCTTCAGCAGGCCATTAACGACTCAACATCTGACGAGGACACGGACTTCATCAACATCTTGCAAAACTTCCCCGAAGAGGCGACCGAAGTTCCCAGTCGATGCCCAGAGAAGCCACGGCGTGGCATTCGAAGTCAACCGGAGGGTTGGGAGCCCGGAGAAAGGTGGACGGCATGGGCGGCCTGGCTTGCCGGCATGGCCTGGTGCAAACACCAGGGCGGGGGAAGTCCTCTGAATTTAAGAATATCATCAATGAATCGAATCAACCCTTTGCAGAATGGGGGCAGGGTGCCAGCAAGACCAGCTGGAAACCATGGCTATCTATGACCTAAAATGAATAATCTTATATGGACTAGAATGTATAGAGTATGGATGTCCACCTTGTCGCCACCTTGTCTCGCTCAAGGCAAGCGTTTGCTTTGATGGTCTTTTACTGCTTGGTTAATAGAGCGGAATACCCCCACGTACAACCAACAAGTGCGACCATGACCATTTGAATGGACCAAAACCGGATCTTTCGTTCGAGGAGGTCGTTGGATTTGGGCGGGTTCGACATGGCTTGGTCTCAGATGGGTCCAAAGATCCCTGGTTCTACTGAGTCTGAGGTTAATGTGTTTTCCCTGTAGGTGGACCACCTGTATAAATCAGGGATCTGGCGGGGATGTCAAAGCATGTGAAAACCGTTTCTGCTTGGCTTGGGAACGGCGCACAAAAGGTTGTGAAGTCGAAGTACAGGGCCGTGGAATGAACTACTGACCATTTTGGGGTGCTGGAAGGATGGGTAATGTCTCCTCACCAATTCAGAGGAAGACCTGTGAATCTGAATCTTCAGAGGTGTCTTATTGAAGATCCCATCTGCGTGTGGGTCCAACCCAAGCACACCAAAACGACTCAGACTCATTCACTCATGTTCACTCTAGAGTCTTCCCATGTCTTCCAATGTCTTCCTGTCTTTCAGCCAGGCCCCACAGGGGGCGTTGAACCTTCTTTTCCGGCAAACTCCACTCGCGCTCCGGCTCCCATCCCTAAAAAAGCCCTTCCACACAGTGTGGTGCTAGAGTCTAGAGGGAAGAGACGCCAAACCGTGACAGGATATATCAAGAGATGAGACTTGGACAAGATCTATGCTTTGGGTCGGCCCCCCTGGTTGGTTCAGAATGGAAAGAGGTAACAAGGGGGGCGAACCTCCCCATCTCCCATCTCCCAAGGTTTGGCCCTCCGTCGCCAGAGATTTGATCCACTTCCAGAGCATCTCCCGATGCTTTCCCAAGGAAAAAAGTCGTCGCGGTGCCTGACGGCCTCCACGCGACTGGAAGCTCGACCTGCTCGCGCGAGGTGCCTCCATTGGTCTCGCGCATTTCCATCCTGTGGCCCTTGGAGGCGACCCCTCCATCGACGGACCGGGCCGTTTCCGGTTCCGTCGGAGACGACAGGAAGGGGGAACAGGAAGAGCAGCTGTGACCGAGGTTGGAGCGGGTCGGATGGTTTGTTGCAGAGATTCGTGGTTCTTCAAGAAGTCATTCAACTACTGAATTTGATGTATTTCGCACCATTTAGCGACATGCAAGGACTGCCCAGCGTGCATACGAAAACGAAAAGTCCTCGGCTCAGAAGGATTAAGCCTTAGAGCCACCGGCCACCGACACAAAGTGTCCAGACTCCTAGAAATGCCGACCAAGTGACTAACCAGGCCCAACAAGCTATTATAGAACGCTTTGTTGAGACATTGCCAAACAACTACAAATAAAAACTGAATATACATTTAGATCAGCAGATGGGACATTTCAATGTTTCCCAACAGGTTTCATGGTCCCCACTCCAAAAGGATGTGGGGACCTTCCTCTTTTTCGTGGAGCAAAAATACACCAGCCTGGACCCTGGCACTTCCGCAGGCATCTCAAGTTCCCTTCCTCAGCGGCATGAGCCAAAGTCATTTCGCTTCACTCTTGGAGGACCCGCCCGCCCGCGCGGTCTTCGGTCGCAAGCGTGTGTGTGGGCGTGTGTTCTTTCTCTGCTTTTTGTTCAGCAAAAACACAAACGGAGAGGCGGGCGATCGAAATGGACACGTCAAAAGCCCCGTGAAGGCCTCGCTGCGTCAGAGGACTCCCAATGGACCATGCACATGGCTGATCGCACGGTCGTCAGGCACGTGGGCACCGGTTTTGGGCGTCAGTGCTTTGCTTTGGGTACCCGGTGGGTGAATGGTTGTTCCAACGGCTCATTGCTTCTTATAGAACATATCATAAATGGAATAACTCCAATGAAGGAGTGAAGGGTCAGTTGAATCGTTGAAATGATCTTGGAAAGCATATTGTGCCAATAAGGTGCCAATAAGCAATGAACAAACCAGTGATCATTGGAACCATCATGTCTTTCTTCCAACAAATCCTACACAGCCTCGGACCCGCCTCGGACCCAGCGGACCTTTGGGACTTTGAAACATCGGGACCTTCGGGGTCATTCGGCGGCTTTGAAGAGTCCAAACCCTAGGTATGCTTAAAGATAGGGTTGATTTGTTGTGATTCTGTGTTTATACTGCGGGAACATTGACATTGAACATTTTCTTGGGGATAAGGTTTTCTGAAGCAAATCTACGTAGTGGCTCCCTTTTCTGCTTTCTCTAGTGACACATGGACAGCGCCAGCTCTACCAAGTCTCGGCAGAAATATATGATAGGCAGAATATAAGTCAGCTTTCACCACTTTGCCACTTATGCTTAGGTTATTTTTAAACCTGTTTCATCCTGAGCTGGATGCCATGCAAGATCCTGGCGCCATGCTTGAAACACTTGCCAGACCCCGATCCCTCCTTTCGAGCGATGAAAGGCAGAACAAGGAGGGTGATGCCTTGCATCTACTTTGCTACGGCCCGCATGCCGAGGGCGAGCCACGCTTGTTGTCCTACCCAGGAAAAGTGGATAACCTGCAAAACTTTTTGGGGGATTGGGGACACCCCACTAAACAACAGATGGAAGGAGGAGTTAACCTTTATTGTCCTGGGAAACTGAGAGAGTTGTTGGACGAGAGACGTCGGTTAGGTGCCAGTTGGGATAGGAATTGGGATAGTGAACACCACAGGTACGGTGCTTCGTTCCAGGTGGTGGCAGCACTTCTCTTCAGTCTTCCTTTAAGAATCGGAAGCACCAAGAAAAGAGCTTTGCCAATGAACGTATCGATTTGCATGGTTTACTGCTCTAGGCGTTCTTTTCCTGGGAATCTATACTGCATGTTTGCTCATACATTTGCAGCCAGGAGTAGTAGCCTGGGGCCTGGGTCCTCACTACAAAGGCATATCATAAAGCACTACTTTCAGACTCCATGCATGGAATATAATATATGCCCCAAGTAGGCAAACTGTTCCACACATAGGTATAAGTCGTCCGAGCGCTGCATGCAATACAGTATGTCTCAATCGACGAATCCAACAAGTCCATCATCAGACGCATCATTCCATACCAAACGACTTTTTTCTGTGGCCGAATGTTCGCTCATCCATCGAAAATCGAGTCATGCAGACCCCGACAACGTCTGGACGATGCGGTTCACCGCCACGCGAGTCTCGACATCGGACGGTTCGTTCCGTCGACACCGTCGGATGCCGTAGAGGTCTCGCCGTCCGCGTGGTGGACGACGTGGTCTTGGGAAATCCTTTGGCTCTTTGGCGAGTGGCGGATGTTTCGAGACACGAAAGGAAGAAGGATGGATGGGTTTCTGCTTAGGGAGAAGGGATGCAGGTGGGTGCAAAATTTGATTTGCTGTTGAAGTGGGCAGAACACGTGGAATCATTGTGACCGACCAAATGTGGAGGAGCAAGACAAGAAGTCTTATCAAGTACATATCAATCCCGAGGTGCTTCAAATGAGATTTACCGGGAAGAGAGATCTTCATAAGCAATCACCCCATGCCCCGCCAACTGCTGGACCTAGTCGTGCAAGGTTTCTAAGAAAAGCTTAAGACAACACAGATACCACAAGATTCACAAGATCCAGACTCAGACAGCTTCAGGAAGACGCAGCAAAATGGGAGATCAAACAGACCCACGAGAGCAACCAGAAATGGGACCCCCCACCTTGGCCCTTGGCTGCCTCCCATGTCTATCACCGCTGAGGGGCGGACCGGTGGCGGACCGGTCGGCTCGGTCCCGGAGGTGCAAGGCGAAGTCATTGGCCGGGCGAACTTCTTGGGCTTGGCGAAGCGCTACCCCCTGACGGCCGGGGAGACCCGTTTTAGTATTTATGTATTGTTTGGTGTGTGTGTGTTTTTTTTTTTTTCGCTTGGAGGGTGTTCATGTTTTTTGAGAAGGGGGCTGGTGTGAAAAGGAAGAGTAGGCACATCATTGTGGTTAAGGATTATATATCGTACACAATTCATATCTCTATCTACGCATTGGCCTAACATGTTTGCAAGGATGGTGAACTGGGCATGTAAGCCCACGGTTTGCTCTCGGCTTCCTCTTTCATACTTGATGACGTTGCCCAAACAATAAACTGACAGGTGATCTTTTTTTGATTGCACAGAGATGGAGCAACTCTAAAATACAACACACCCAAAAATATCAATCAAATCTCACACACCTAATGAAGTGTATAATTACCATGTAGTATCCAGGAAAGTTTGAAGGTCTCGCCTTCCTTTCAGTGAATGCAATGTATCCACTGCGTGAATGCTACACCCTCCACGGACTGTTGGAAGATGTTGGAAGGAACCACACACATGGTATTGCAATGGGATGCTCCAAGTTGTTTTATGATGTTGAACAGGTCTTTTTTTTTCCAGGGTACCCCGTGTTCGATCTTCGTCCACTAAGTACATCATCTCACGCTACGTATAGTATATACAACGCTTTTGTCCGCGTCCGAAGCGAGTCTTCGTCGGTGCCTCGCCTCGCGCCGTCCGAAGCCCGAGAGAGTTCCAACGAGTGAGGTCCGAACGCAGAGTGTGTGCCACTTTCGCGGGAGAACTCAGCAATCTGTGGTGGTTTGTTGGTCCTTTCTGGGATAACCGAAAGACGTGAAGGATAGAGGTATAAGATGGTATAAGCAAAAATAGACATTGAGTTCCAAATACACCCCTTCACCTGAAAATCCATTGGAGACCCTCCCACATGCTGTCTTACAAAACGGGAAACCGAGGTGTTACATTGTGGGAGGGGGTCCATGAAAGTCAGTTTACTGCCGTGGGTCCTCGACACTAAAACTGTACCTGGTGTTTCATGGATGGGCCTTTTGGTCCCCTCCGGGAGGACCACAGATCCGTGGGGCCACAGTTTCGCTCCGTGGGGTCGTCTCATCAAGGGTTTCTTCATATGCCAACATATGTCCTTTTCATGTCTATATAGTCCAAAGCTTAATAGTTTATACCATTTTTGTGCCATTCCAGGATGACTAAGACTCAACATGTTAAAGGTCAGTCATGTTTGCCAATGCATGAGTTGTTTGCCGTCGACATTGCCACTCTCTCGCCTGAGGAACCTTGACCTATCGACAGTTGCAACAGCCTGGCTGGCACGTTGAATGATGGGGAGCAAGGAATTCGCTTGTTCATCCGAAGCGAAGACCGTTTTGCCAAAGTTTTTTCCCCAAAAAATGGGTTGTGAACACAAGTGTTTTGTACACTTGTTGGGTTCGTGCACTAAACAGAAACCTTATTGAGAAACGCTTGTTCCAACTGCATTCATTCATTCGAGAAATGGACTTGACACTCTGAACAAAAATGGGAAGGGACACGAAGGGACCCAACCTTTGTGCCAAAGACAATCGTACACACACAATCTCCCCAGACACGATTTCGACTTGGGACACCCTACTCCTTTGCCCTCTCTTTCAGTCTACATCAGCAGACCTCTCCGTCTACTCTACTCCGGTGGTGCCAGGCGTATGGAGACGGAGTTCCCCTTGAGGGAGTGGTATGAGCTGGCCAAAGTTCAGGCGGGGACGGAAGTTCGGTCGAACCCAGCGGAGCGGTCGAACGCGCGCGGGGGGAAAGTGAAACACGGAGCGGCGCGGTCATGAAGCGCGCGGAGCGGTAAGCGCCGATGCTGCGGGCCGGGGACAGAAGGGTGACGAGGTTTCAACCTGCACACATCCGACACTGAAGCATGCAACTAGGCGAGTTCCAGAAAAAAAGAAAAACAACTGACAGATGGGTTTATTGGAGATGATTGGGTCATTTTTGCGTGGCATACAGCAAATCGACTCAAAACTGATGCCTGCTTGGGGATGTTTTCCAGTTTGAGAGAAGCATACTCGGGCTTGACTCGAGCATACCAGTCCCACTACCAGTCCCTTTATTTGGTTGCGTGCATTGTGACATTGGGGCCAGGAAGCTGTTTGCGTGGATGGCAATAACATGCAAACACATGCATCGAGTTTTTTCTGTTTCCTGTACCTTGTGAAGTTGGTGTTCATTGGGCACATTGGTTGTAAACCGAGGATCCTGTTTGAAGAGTGTGGAGTGCGAAGGAAGAGAACATATGCAGAGGAAGATAACATACCGAGAAGCGAAGAGTCTAAGATGAGTTGCGATGAGAACATGAGCGAGTTGAGTCATGATCCAAACAGCACAACCATTCCAACCTCATCCACCGACTCACTCCACTTCGCTGCGCGTTCGCTCCACAAACCGCGCTTCGGGGGTCGCTGAAACCGAGTGGCGAGTGAGGTGCAGAACTTTGTCGAATACGACCATGCTCAGCAGAAGGTGCGGATGATGAGAGAATCCATGCATGATAGTCGACCAAGCCACCCTGCACCAGTGATGTTCATGTGTTTTGTCGGTGTTGGCATGAATGTTCAGCTGGTGTTCATCGCTTGTCATCAACGGGGAGTCAAGACTGTTTATGCCCATGATGGTATTACGTGGTTCAGTGCTACGGACATCTATATATCCAGCCCTCGGAGTGTGTAATCTCCTACTTGCCGAAGGTTGTCCCTTGCAAAGCAATGTGGATCGGTGTTCTTGACCGTTGCCCGGTGGACCCAAATGTTTGGGTGTTTTTGCCGCCCACAAAGGTCGATGTGAAATCTGAAACCACATGTGCTGGGGATTCACATAGTCTGAGACTGCCGCGTGTCACACACAAAAGACTGCCGCGCAGGTGGAGATTTTTCATGCCAAGATGAGGCCGGATCGGTTCTGATCGCTTCCGCTCGGGAAAATTGCACCTTCCACGCCGGTTTGCAGGATGAATTGGTTCACCTTGAATTTGGACGGTTGACCCTTTTTGAATACTGAACGAGCTTTTCTGAGAAAAAAGTAGGACAAAGTAATGCATTCCTCAATTTAGGTACTTTTGGGGTGGGCATTGATGTTGCAAAAACCCGAGGACATCCCACCGACCGCAGGGTTTGGCCCAGCGACACCTGTGGACCGAAGGAGCTGAAGGGGTGAGAACAACCGAAGGAGTTGCTGAGTTGCCGAGTTGGTAACAAGAAATGGCTACGGGCAAAAACAGGCTTGGATCACACACCCAAAGCCACACAGGGTTTCTGGCCACACCCAAATATATACATGGATTGACGTGTCGCGGGAGGTTTCTGGAGGAGTTTGTGTTGTTGGTGTCCATTTTCTGTTGAACTGTTGTATGATATTTGATGTGTTTGTTTTCATTTGCCATGGGCTGCATTGTCCAGCGTGTTTTGAATGGGTTGGGCTGTAATAGGTATACCGGTATACCAATACAATTGAATACAATTGATATTGTTATTTGATCCAGTTTACCAGCGACGTGCCTCAGATTCTCCTCAGAAGCTAGGTAGATCATACAGATACCTCGTAGTAAGTACCTCAGTGGAAGGTTCGAACTGACGGGTCAGAGGAAGGAAGACATCGGATCGAAGAAAGACAAGCTCGCAACGTCACCACAAATGTTAAACTACCGGAAAGTTGTCAGGCAATTGTTTCAGCTGATGCCGCAGTTGTTCTTGTTGGTTATAACAATGTTGTTAGCCTTCCGTTTTTCAGCATCCCTTACCAGGGAAACTTGTTGAAAACACATGGTTCCAAACGACACTTGTTGAGGCGTCGGACCGAGCAAGCCTTCAACAAGCACGCTCCGGGGCCTAGGTTTGGTGGTGGCTCACTCTTCTTCGGTTCTACACAAACAGAGATGGCATTCAACACCAATGGGTCAGAAGGAACATGTGATGGTTTAATGGTTTCAGGATGAGAGTTCAAGGCTCCAGATGCTGATGCTTCAACCACAAGGTCACCTGACCAGTTCCAGTTTTGTGCAGTTCACTACAGTTAATTTACCGTTTTCTGTTCGCACATCTAAATTTGAATGTCAATGCCTGGAACCATTCCATTCCCTGCACAGAGACATTCCTGATGGTGCCTTGAGGTGCACTTTACCAGGGTGATCCGAGCCAAGAAGGAAGGCGTTGAAGTCGATTCCGTTGATGTTTCAATGGTATTTGGTTCCACTCAAAGAAGATGAGGATGTAGCAGTGCGATTGCTGGAAATACTTAGGGCCTAGGGCTTAAGTAGGCATCTCGAACGGGGTGCATGGGAAAAGCTCATGGACTTGCTTGTTGCGGTTACTGTGATGCACTCCTACAGTAACTTCCGCAGGTCAAGAGAACGTTGCTTCTATTTTTTGGCCGAAGTAACCAGCTTCAGCTCAAGCATCTCGACCCAGCTTATTAGGCTTGAGCATGCTTGTTCGTTGCCCGGTTCCGCCAGAACGAACTTGCATTATACCTGGGACGTCCAGGAGCCTCCCGAGAGACATGTTTTCCTTTCCAGGCTCGATCCCGGTAACCAGAAACCGACTCTACGACTCCAACTGCTTGGAGTCGTCAGTACTTCGGCACGTCTCGGCAGTTCTCGGGCTCTCATGTAGAGTCACCTTGTTACCTTTCAAGGATGTACCACAAAGGGGAACGACACGTCCTTGGAGCTCCTCACTTTGTACCCTGTACAACGTCCGGCAAGAAGTTCTGTTTGTCATCCTGAAAAAACACATAGACAAGACCCAAGTTCACCCAAGTGATTCTACCTGTGGACCGTCCACTGGAGAGTCTGTATTTCTCGGGAGCGACGACTGGACGTGCTTTCCGGTTGCCGCAGGTATCCTCGACACCAAGGCCTGCAGTGCTTTGCACTGACATGAGATGTCGAAACGATTTGCAGTTACTGTATTTGATGACATGAAGAAGTCAGTCGAAAAAAGTCTGTTGAATACACATATCTCAGTCTGCGGTTGCTGACATGGAGACCTTCTCAAGACAGGTGTCCTCTATGCCTTGTGTCCATGTCTCTGTTAATGAGAAGGGCAACATTTGTTCATCTCTCAATGTTCGTTTCAATATCTCTTTGGGCCAGGTCAATTCGTATGTTAGGAGATCCTTATCCCAGGCAGAGAAAGATCCCTTTTCAGAGGAGTCGCTCATCACACAGATCCTAGGCATTTCACTAACCCCCACTGGAATCCGAAAGGACTATGATCTCATAGATGTCATCCAATCCGAAGCATCCGTTTGGAATGGACTCCAGAGAATTCCATTTGTGAGTCCCGTCCCAGACGGACGGACAGACTCGACTCTCGCAGACTCTCGACCCGGAAAGGCCAAGGAGCTGGTGCAGGAGTTTCTGGAGTCGACCAGGCGGAGCGGGTTCGTGCCGCGTCCGCGACACGCGGCCGTGCCGTTTCGCATGGCGGGGGGGGGTTCTGGCGCCATGCAGATGGGGGGATGAGTATAGATGGGGGTGGAGAGGTGCAGTGGGAAGACTACACAGACGACGACTACAAATAACGTTTTCTTTCAAGGTTGGTGGCCGCAGAACACCCCTCCAAACACCAACCCTGGTGGTCGATTTGGTGAACTTTGGGTGGCGTGAAGTGGAGCTTGGATTTGCCATCCATAATGCCATAGGGCGGTTTGGCTCTCGAGGTCAGACACGGGAACGTTTTCTCAATGAAAGGTCTAACATTGTCTCAGAAAACATTCCAAGAATAGCAGAGAGAAGAAGCATGAAGAAGCACATCAGGGGCCAACAAACAACAAGACGGGTTTCCAGAGCAACAACACCAATGAAACTGGTGTAGAATCTTAGCACTGCGATTATGGCAATGGCGGATTGTTAGAGCTGTTCGGTTCAGCCACAATGCGGCTCAACACGCAGGGTGTGGTGTGGGACGATGAAGCGATCTCAGGGCTGTGTTGAAAGTCACGCAGTTTTTGCATCACCCCTGTGTTGGGCGATGCTTAATGATCGAAGGGTTTGGCACAGACACAAGTGTTGTTGTTGTGCATGGTCAATACGCAAAAGAGACAACACTTCACACCAGCCCAAGATGGTTCGTTTTTTGCCAGGGGCTTGCCAGTGCCGCAGGTGAGATTCCGTTGTTAGCATTCTTCAGCTCTCAAGGAATGACCGTCGGTTTTTGATTCACCATCCTTTTTTGTCGCGTAGAGGAGCCTGCGTTTTCATGCGTTTTCAGCTTTCACGCGCCAGGAAGCCTGAGGAGGAACGTGCCGAACTTGGATGAGAAAGCATCAGGGAATCTTCCCACGGCCCACAGCTAGTGGAAGCTGTTTGTTTTGGCAAGCCAAGTGGAATGAATTAGGAATCAACTAATCACCTCACAGGCTATCCATGTTGGCTTATATATTGGAGAGTAGACTCGTAACTTACAGTGGTCTTTTCGCCCCGGCTGTTTTCGGAGTCCACCACGGACCGCACCCTGCTGCGTGGCACACCCATGACCTCAGGTGCGGCGCTCACCTCCGCGCGGGAAGTCAGTGAGGCCAGGGGGGGGGCACAGGGCGGGCGAAGGGAAGGGATGGCGGGGTGGAATGGGCCGCTTTGGCCTGATATGGTTGATCCCGTTTGGGCTCCTGTCCCATATCCTCAGGTTCGGTGGGTAGACCCCCTGGCGGCGTAGTGGCCGTGCTTTTTGGGCGCTCTCCAACTGCCAGTGGGCTGGCGGTCGTCACCATGATACTGACCGATGTTCTTCAGGCAACTTGTTGTAGGCAACTGGGTTTTGGTGTCACCATGTGGACTTTCCAAGGAAGTCCCTCTAAAGTCCCCGGGAGACAAACTAGTTGATTGGGAGGCTTTGGGTTTTTGTTGTTATGTTTTCATGTTGAAGGTAGGGTTCTTTTATCCTCTTTGAGGTATGGTCAGGGACTGGCCCCCGGGGGGGTTCAAAGGATGGTGCAGCACTGGGCGGTTCAGTCTCTCGTTGTCTTGGAGCTTTGTTGCCGAGACATATCCAGAGTCCATCAAGCGGCGAAGATCTGGTTGCAGCCGCAGATGCCCCATGTGCCGCAGATCCGGCGGTGCTAAGTGCTGTAGCGTGGAGCATGTTCAGTGTTCGGTGGCGTGGACCATGGTAACCATGGTGTGAGTAAAGAAGGGTCCCTCAATGAGCCACTCGTTGTTCAAGATGCATCCATCATCCATGTGAAAAGAACGGACTCAGCTCCAGGACTGGGTCGCCTTGCAAGAGACCTACAACTTGCTCAGGCGCGGCCGGAAAAAACTCAGCAAAATGAGCGACTTCATGTTTGTTGGCGTTGGTGTTAAATGCAAACCAACAAACAAAATCAACCTGTGAGCCAGCCTTACAGCTTAACTCTTGGTCAGGCCAAACCAGGAAACTGATACATCATGGAACATCGAAGGATCCCTAAAATCATCCTAACATCTATCCATTCCTTAAGTCAAAGGATTCCCCGCCATGACACCAGCCAGGAGCTCGAAGGTGAGTCCGGAATCCTGGACGATCTGGATATGTGCCGTTGTGTGACAAGTAGAAAACACTTGCTTGAAACCTGTTTGATGAAACTAGTTGAAGCGTTGAAATGATCAATGCATGTTTGCATCCGCAGATTATCCGCATCCACCATGCACAGCTCAGATGTTGGGTAACCATGACACAAGACAGACTCAGTAGCACTGTCCAAATTTCTTATATAACCTGTTTCTTCATAGAGTTGTGAGAATGACCCGTTGGACAAAGACTAAGCCAATGAAGATGTTGAACTAGACTGAAGTAGTAGACCAACCAACAACCGGCGGTGCCATGATCTGTTTGCCGAGGCAGCCTCCCTTCGCAGAAGAGCTTTGGCACAGAGGCTGTGGAGAAAGAGAGAGAGAGAGAGAATAGTCAACACCGATCTAGCTAGACACAGCTGGCAAGAATGAACAACCCTTTTGAAGCCATGAAATAGAACCGATTTGATTTCTGTATAATATGCGTGCCGTGTACACTATGTTTCGCTCAAGATGTTGTCTATGGATCTTCAAATTTCACGGATGTTCACGGTATTTATGATTTTGTGTTTGGTGTTTGTATGTGGCACTGTGCATATATTATCATGTTGACGTAACTTGTTGTTTATCGTCATGCATGTTGCCTGTCCTGGTGACTGCAGTTAGACATTGCATTCATTCATATAGACATTATATGTCGCCAATAAATGGTTTTTGTACGTGTAGCTGTGTTTCTGCAAGCCTGCATAAGCTTTTGTATAGTGCTTTTCTTTGGGTGTTGCTTGAACTTGCAGACTATTTTGTTGTTTGGGGGCTCAGATTAAGGGGTGTGACCAATCATGCGTTCAACTACTATCCAGCTGTAGCTTTCAGCCGTTTAAATGAGCACTTGGGTGTTTTCACATCAAGCCCCTTTTCGAGGCTTCCACGTGTGTTTCTCACAAACGCGAAGGGATCCACAGTGTTGAGGTAGTACAAGACCTCCCGGAATCCCTACATCATATTATGTGTGTTCTTTAAGTTTTTACAGGTGATCTCACCCAAACGCGACACCGCAAATCACAATGTTCAACAGCTGCGAACGTTTAAACAGAGCCAGCCCTTTTTCAACATGTTCCAGGATCAAAATGATATGTTTTGGATGTTCCAGGACATCCCTCAACAAGACGGTTTCTGGTCGACCCTACCTGTTTGCTCTCCTCCGCTCCGTCGCAGGTGGAGCAGTGCAGCAATCAGTCCGGGGGTCTCGGTCTCCGAAACGTTCTGCGGCGGGCTGGGCAACGGATGACCGCTGGGCTGGGCAACTAAGTGAACAGAGGAATCAAATGGATCCAAATAACTGTTGCATGCTTTTGCTGTGGTTCTAATTGGAGATGTACCTTACCTCCTTGCTTCCAAACAGACCGGTGAGCTGATATAGGCAATTCAACAAATAGTGTCTCAAAAAGATTCGATTGAATTTGGCAGCACAAATATGGGAGTGCTTTTATTGCCGTTCCCGGGCTGGGATGATTGCCTGTGGGCTATGTTTTAGGGGTATCCTTGGGGGTATGCTTCGCGTGGAGCCAAGGCTTAAAGTAGTAGCATTTTCAGAGGGCATGCTTTGGGGTATGCTTCGCCTAAGTCGAACATCCTAACTCTACATCATTAAACTGGCACACGTTAAGAAATACAAACCCATCTTGTCTCAAGAGATTGAAGCCATTGGCACAAGTTTTTTTGTCTTGTCTCAAAAGATTGTTATGCACCATAGAAGGAGATATATTAGGAGAAGGTGGTGGGGTGGGAGTGGCGTCAAGTAGAAAGGCCTCGCACCACTCCAAAGACCTGTGACTCCGCACGAGACCGCACGACCGCACATCCGCACGCGACTTGCCGATGATCGGCGCGAGGTCCGGCTTCTCCTCGGAGCACAGCGGGCCGAAGGTGGAGACGGCTGAAACGACATAAAAGAACTGAAAGAATAACCAAAAGCAAGAGACCCCTAGCTGCTAGCTGGCTGAGGAGCCTTGTTTCATGTTCCAAGTAGATCCACTAAAGAGTTTTTAAGATGATGTGATTGCCTCAGACGAGTCGAGGTGATTTAGAAACGACAGATAGCCGTCGTCGCGTATGTCCGGCAAAAGCCGAGAGCCACCATGTGAGTGTAGATTTGTCTAGACACCTTGAAACAGTTTCAAAGCCAGTGCAATGGCACTCCACTGTACGGGTTCTTTTGAGTATGTTCCATTCAAGACCCCAGAAAGAGCCACCACATTCACACAGCTGGAAACCTTGGCCTCTTTGGTTTTGGCCTCCCAACAGAATTCCACCTGCCTTCAGGTCGAAAGCACAGCACCCAACAGACGGGTGCCCTCCAAGAACAGGCGCCGCGAGGGGCAGAGTAGGCAGAGTGGGAGGGGTTCGGGCGAGGGCAGCGGTCCCACCTGGAGGACCACGCTGAACCCCCAGAATGCAGACACAACTAATGGGACTGCCACAGGACTGCCGCCCCAGACCCCCCTGGCTGGGCACCACCCCCTGGCCTGATCGGCCTACAGATTATGCCATACATGGAGCGTCTGGGGATTGTTGGAGATGGTTTGCATGGAGATGTTCACCTTCCATTTCTGTCAGTGAACGTGTATGTTGCCCTTCTTTGGGTGCCAGCGAAGAAGTGGAACTGCTGCGCAGAACTGGATGAATCGAGATGCAGCATTTGTCGAAATTTGGGCACTGTATGGTACTGTACGCACTGTACTCCCCCCATTTCTGCAACAAAAACTGATCAGTTTTCCCACTCATTCACCTAGGTACGCTTCCCCCGGGTACTCCCCTCGATGCCGAACCAGTCCAGCTCCGTCAGGAACTTGGAAGGACCGCGGGGAGCTGGGTCCGTCCGTGGAGGTTCGTTCATTCGGGGTGTGGCGTGATGTGGCGGATGAAAGCGAGCTCGTGACGACGCTGCGGTCCCCTCTGAGCCACCAACCCATCACCTTGCCCTCGAAAAAACCAGTGACACTTGCGAATGCTGGTTGCACCAGCTTTATAGACAGGTCATGTGGGTCACCGGGTCAAAACCGCGGAACTCTGCTTGACTTTCGGGTCAGACAAAAACAAAGAGATTCCTCTTAAACTTGATGTTTGTCATGTCAAACGTTCATAGTTTAGGATGTGGTTTTGACCCACACCCCTGTTTGTAGAGTCAACGAATCTCCACTCTCATAGACCTTGACCATGTCGATGGGGAGAATAATCCAACCGGACCTAGATCGGAGGAGAAGCCTAAACCCGGTGTTGGGCTTCATGTGAGGTTGAATTGTCCCTGTGATATCCTCTTCCAGGGAAGATCATGTATTTCTTTCCCGGTTCTCTATGAAAATCCACAGAGGATCTGAAAGCTCCGTCTTCTCTCCCCGACTCAGATGCTTTCTGCGGCAAATCCTGAGCGCCCTGCCAGTCTTTCCCAGGAAGTCCAAGTGTTCAGGTGGTACTTCAAAGGCCGGTTGGGACGAAGTGGATGAGTGGAGAGCACATGCCCTGCTGCGATGCAAGCGCCATTCGTAGCTGCAAATGGGAAGCAAAGGCAAGCCAGATGCTTCTCGTCCTTGGATGTCTTTAAAGATTTATATTTGGCACCACTGCTGCACATCACTTCCAACATGATATAAGAAGCTCGGATGAGCATATCGACATGCAGCGCACCCTGCGTCCTAAATGGAAGTGTGTAGAAGCGTTCGTGCCGCCGATCACAACTATGTACAGAGAGGGAAGGCTGGACCTGGGTGGTATATGCCTATTTTGTTGTGCAACGACTTCAGACCAGAGGAAATGTGTGCTTTGATGTGGTTTATACTATATAGATTGTATATACAATGCCTGTATCTGTTTTGGAACCATTTACGTGTCTTCACCACTTTCAGATGAAAGAGGAAAAGCTCTTCAAAGGTCATGTGTTTCAAGAAGATCTGCGAAATCGGCTGCTAGCGTTGTTCACGGACGAGATGTAGGGATTTAAATACCTCCTGAGAGAAAGTCTTCGGGAG